ATTTAGTAGTGACATGATTTGGATAAGCCTCTATTATTTCTTGGAGCTTTTCCATACCTCAATTTCCTCATAAGTGAATAAGGATATAGTAACTTTCATATATAAATGTAAATATAAGTATATATATATCTCACTATATTATACTCATATAATATAGTACTTCATTGGGTCAATGTGAATAATAAGACAGGAGTGTGCTTTGCAAATTACAAAGAGTTATCCAGAGTTTCATGATAGCAGTAATAATAGTGATGTTCATGTTAACAAGAATATCTTTTAATTTTTTAAACAGTACAAAATTACACCCTTACTGGCTTTCGAGAAATGATAGTTGATGGTGTTAATAAGGAGGAGACAGGAAAAACACAACTTCCCTCAAGTTCGGATGGTGATGACTCCAATTTAGAGAAAACTAACTGCTCATCAGGAATGAACCTACACTCCAGGAGAATATAGTTTAAAATCACTGCTGTTTCCTTTTTAATATTCTTCCTATATACCTAAATTCTTATTGTTCTATCTGAAAATGCCACAGTAGAGTCCCTGTGTTCTCTGGTGCTGGCATGCTGCAAAATCCTGTGATAGAGGGGTAGCTAATAAATTATTTGACAGGAAATATAGAAAAAAAATCTTTGTAATTCACAGTTCTGACATAATGAAAAGCTTATAATTCACTAGTGTGACCTCACAGCTGTGAATTACAAGTTTCACTTGACTCGTTCACAATTTGTCTTTGAATTTATACTATGAAAAGTGAGAACCATATTGTCAAACTGTCACTCCATATTGATGTATTACTGCTCAAGATTAAGAAACATTTTGTCAAAGAGCAGAAAATAAAAATACCCTAAAAGAAGATGGAGTTTGATACAAATTTGAAGGGGTGTATGAGGCAAAGACAAAAATGTCTAGAAAAAAAGCAACATGCAGTGTTTGTGTCTGTCCAGAGACTTATTTTTTAATCCCTTCATTTAATAACAGTAAACGTCTGTATAAATCTTAGTATATGCCAGGCAGTCTTATAGCCACTTTAGATATAAACATTTTTATTTATTTATTTATTTATTTATTTATTTATTTATTTATTTTAAAGATTTTATTTATTTATTTGACAGAGATCACAAGTAGGCAGAGAGGCAGGCAGACAGAGGAGGAAGCAGGCTCCCTGCTGAGCAGAGAGCCCGATGCGGGGCTCGATTCCAGGACCCTGAGATCATGACCTGAGCTGAAGGCAGAGGCTTTAACCCACTGAGCCACCCAGGCGCCCCAGATATAAACATTTTTTAAACTCAAGAAATCTCTGAGAACTAGGTATTATTTTTATTTCTATTTTCTTTTATGCAGAAACTGAAGCACAGAGAGGTTAACCAACTTGCCTAAGTTCACACTACCAGTAAGTGGCAAAGCCAGGATTCAAACCCAAGTCTCATGGCTCCAGAGGCCAGACACCAAAGCCTCTGTACCACATGGTCTTTGTGAAAATGTTGTTACTGAAGATTGAGTTGGCTGAGCCTATACTAATCTTTTATCTTTAACATCAATTTATTTATTTTTTAAAGATTTTATGTACTTATTGAGAGAGAGAGAATGAGAGAGAGAGAGCATGAGAGAGAGCACATGAGAGAGGGGAGGATCAGAGGGAGAATTAGACTCCCTGGGGAACAGGGAGCTGGATGCAGGACTCCATCCTGGGACTCCAGGATCACGATCTGAGCTGAAGGCAGTCAATTAACCAACTGAGCCACCCAGGCATCCTAACATCAATTTAAAAATATCTTTGGGGCGCCTGGGTGGCTCAGTGGGTTAAACCTCTGCCTTCGGCTCAGGTCATAATCTCAGGGTCCTGGGATCGAGTCCTGCATCGGGCTCTCTGCTTGGCAGGGAGCCTGCGTCCTCCTCTCTCTCTCTCTCCGCCTGCCTCTCTGCCTGCTTGGTTTCTTTCTCTCAAATAAATAAATAAAATCTTTAAATAATATCTTTGATCAGATTTTTTTTTATAGTAATATTTCAAAAGAATGGAAGGTAAGAAAGAGACAGCTAGTATTACATTTCACTTATTTAGATTTAGAACAGATGAAGGTTCTCTATTCTGGACATGTCTAAAATCATTTTTAACTCTTCAAGAATCTTCGAGTAAAATATACAAAGTAGGTTGTCATTCTGATGGTACTTTTCTTTGTAACTTTTAATTTTAATATATTTTCAAACACAGAAAAATTTAAAGGATAGTACTAAGAACTGTTGTATATCTTTATCCAGATTTATGAATTGTTTAAATTTTGCCTCATTTTTCTCTTTCTCTAGGATCATTTGAAATGGAGAGGTGGAGTGTCTCTTCATCCTTAAATCTTTCAGTGTGTATTTTCTGAAAGGAAGAATATTGTCTTTTATTTTATTTTATTTTATTTTAAGATTTTACTTATTTATTTGACAGAGAGAGAGAGAGATCACAAGTAGGCAGAGAGGCAGGCAGAGAGAGAAGGGGAAGCAGGCTCCCTCCTGGGAGCCTGATATGGAGCTCCACCCCAGGACCCTGAGATCATGACCTGAGCCCAAGGCAGAGGCTTATCCCACAGAGCCACTGGTGCTTGGGGCACCACCCAGGTGCCACAAGAACGTTGTCTTCTTAATCATAGTTACAATCGCCAACATTAGGAGAGTTCACATTGATACAATGCTGACATCTAATCCACAGTCCATATTCAAATTGTCCAACGTTCCCCAAAATGTTCTTTATAATGAATTTTTTTTTTCCTGTACTAGAGAGTTCTTTTACCCACCTCCCCCACCTTTTTTAAAATTTAATTTTATTTTTTCAGTATTCCAAGATTCATTGTTTATGCACCACACCCAGTGCTCCATGCAATGCGTGCCCTCCACAATACCCACCACCAGGATCTCCCAACCCACTACCCTCCTCCCCTCCAAAACCCTTAGTTGGTTTCTTAGAGTCCACAGTTTCTCATGGTTTGTCTCCCCCTCCGATTTCCCTTAACTCATTTCTCCTCTCCTTCTCCCAATGTCCTCCATGTTATTCCTTATGCTCCACAAGTAAGTGAAACCATATGATAATTGACTTTCTCTGCTTGACTTATTTCATTCAGCATAATCTCCTCCAGTCCTGCCCATGTTGATACAAAAGTTGTGTATTCATCCTTTCTGAGGGAGCCATAATACTCCATAGTATATATGGACCACATCTTCCTTATCCATTCGTCCGTTGAAGGGCATCTTGGTTCTTTCCACAGTTTGGCAACTGTGGCCATTGCTGCTATGAACATTGGGGTACAGATGACCCTTCTTTTCACTACATCTGTATCTTTGGGGTAAATGCCCAGTAGTGCAATTGCAGGGTTATAGGGTAGCTCTATTTTTAATTTCTTAAGGAATCTTCACACTGTTTTCCAAAGTGGCTGCACCAACTTGCATTCCCACCAACAGTGTAAAAGTGTTCCCCTTTCTCCACATCCTCTCCAACACATGTTGTTTACTGTCTTGTTAATTTTGGCCATTCTAACTGGTGTAAAGTGGTATCTCATGGTGGTTTTGATTTGAATACTCCTGATGGCTAATGATAATGAACATTTTTTCATGTGTCTGTTAGATATTTATATGTCTTCTTTGGAGAAGTGTCTGTTCATGTCTTCTGCCCACCTCCCTTCTATACGTGAATGTTCTTAGGAGTTTTGTTTGTAATAATCAAAACTGGAAACAACCAAAATAGTAAAACTGTGGTAAATAGTTAGACTTTGATACATTTATACCATGAAATACTATTCAGTCATAATAAGGAATGAATTATTGATACAGGTAACAATAGATAGTTAGATCTCAAGGGTATTATGCTGAGTGAAAAAAAGACAGTAATATGCTATATAATGTGATTCATATAACACTCTCAAAATGGCAAAATTAAAAATAGGGAAAATAGGACTTAGGGAAGATTTCTGTGTGTGTGTGTGTGTGTGTGTGTGTGTGTGTGTGACAATAAAGGTATAGCCATAGGGAGATCTCTGTGGTGATGGAATTGTCCTAAATCTTGATTGTGATGGTGGTTGCATAAATTTACATATGATAAAATGGCATAGAATTACACACACATTTTACAAATGTCAGTTTTCAAGTTTTGATATTGTGTAAGATGTGACTATTGTGGGAGATGGGTAAAGGTTACATGAGATAATTCTGTATTATTTTTTGAAACTTCCTGAATATCTGTTTCAAAATGGGGAATTAAAGAAAAAAGTTAAAAACATTTTGTGATTGATTTAGCTCATGAATTATGTAGGTGAGGTCTTTAATTCTTCAGAGTACAAAACTTACGTATAACTGGCAGAATAATTATGTGTTTTTGTGTCTAGTTACAGTTATTTTCCACCATGTTGTATCTTAAAGTCATTAATAGCAAGCGTTATAAATAGCTGGGTATAAAAGCGATTTAAGAACAAATAAATGGACAGACTACCAATGTCATGATGACTCCTCAGATGTTGTGAAATCAAGTTCATTTCAGTTCAAAGAATTCCCAGAGTGTGTTTCAGGTGCTGGATTCATAAACTATTCATTTTGTCTTGAGCAGGTCATCTGTCTTTTCCTCTGACTTATTCTGGTGTTCTTTTTCCCTGCTTGCATTATTACTGCTGCATTTGGCCAGCTACCTACAAAGAAGACTCCCAAGATCTGAGGTGGTGTTCTTTTTAAACTATTTATTTTTTAGCCTAGACATAGGCTGGTTGGCTCCATTACTTCAGCTGCTGAATCTGTTTTGGACTTCAGCACATTCCAGTACCAACTGCCTGGGAGATATTCTTTACCTCTATTTGTAATAACCACCTTTATATAGTTTAAAAAGTAACCTGTATTGGGCTCTGAATAGTTCATAGAAATTTCAGTAAGATCCCATGTAGTTCATAATGGTTCCTTACAGCAACTCTCTCCCATAATTCAGATTTGAGTCCAGAGATCAATGAGGAATATAAGTAACAGATACCATACTGTACCTCAGATTGACCCTCCTCAAATCCAACTCTCTCCTCTTTCTAATCTTCTCTCAAAATTGTTGCCAAATATCAATTTACAGGGCAATATAAATGCTTTATCTTCTTTTTTAAATTTTTTATTTATTTTATTTTATTTTATTTTATTTTTGCTTTATCTTCTTAAAACTAATGTTTGATAGTGGTTCCTGAACAAAATTACACACAGATGGAAATTTTTAGTATGGTCAAATTTCTACCTTTCTACCTCCATCTGTGTTACTCTATGCATTCTATTCTTCTATGAACTTGGATATCTTGTTCTTCCTCCTTTGTTCTGCTCAAACTTCTGTTCATCTGGATTTCTCTCTCCTGACCATATAAAATGCTGCCCATTCCTGGTTGTCCACTATCTTTTCCAATGATGCTTTCCTGAGGTCTTTAGCTAGGTAGTCTAGCTGAGGTCTTTAGCTAGATAGTCTCCCTTGTTGGAACTTCTGTTGCTCTTTTTGGCACATACATTTTGGCTATATAACAGTGCTATGGGTGAAAGAATTCAGTCTAAAATCACACATTGCATTTAGTTATTAGGTTTCTTGATGCTTTTTCAATTTAGACTATTTCCTCAGTCTTTCCTTGACTTCCAAGACCATGTAACTTTTGAGGATTACAGTCCAGCTATTTTGTTAAGTGTTCTTCAATTTGGGATTGTCTATTTCCTAATGATTAGATTCAGACTATATATCTTTGGGATAAATATCACAGAAATGATGCTGTGCTGTTCTTATTGCATTCTATCAGGGAACACATAATTTTGATTTGTTCCATTGTGGATGTTCATTTTGATCACTGATTAAGGTGGTGTCTGTCAGGCATGTCTCACCCCACCCAATTAAATTTCTTACTTTTACATTTATTTGTTGTTTACTTATTTATATAGGTATGGGCTCATGGATTCCCATTACTACTAAATGACTTAAAAATTTATTTCTATCGTTGTTGGTTTTGATACTTAAAATTGTCTCAGATTAGGCCAACTGGAACCCTAGCTGGCATTGTTTCCTTTTGACATGTCTCTTTTGGTTTTTGGGCAGTTCCTTTCTGGCACAGAAAAATGTTTCAGCTCATTCTACGTATCCCTATCCCAGCTCTGGAATCAGCCATTTCTGCAAGAAGTCTTGATTTTTTAGACTGCAACGTTGTGTTTACAAATCAGGATTGGGCACTAGGTGTATTCATTGTTGTTGGAGTGTCACTTCTAGGCCTTCTCAGTGGAATTGGCTAGATAATACATGAATATATATACACATTCACACACACATTTACATCAATATGTATTTCTATATCTATCTAAATAAATTTAAAACCATGAATTCATACTTCAAAATGCAGTCTAATGTCACATGTCTCACTCTTGTTTTCTCCCTTTCCATATTTTGAAATTCTCTTCTTTGACAGTGAGAAACCTGATTCCCATTATCCTTCACATATTTACTTACTGATAAGTTTGTTGCTATAGCCAAATTCTTATCACTGCTTCTACAACACCCCCCTCCCTTCCAATCCCACAAGGACACCCTGCTCCACCTGACTCCCTATTGTGGGTGGTCCCTTACCCCCTGCATGAGCACTATGCTTATCTGGTTCAGTTTCAGATATCTGCATGGGTCCACCTTTCCCTAGTACACCCGCCTCATCCCCCTTGGGCTCCAAAATTCCATGCTTCACCACTGCCACTGTTAACCCCCAACTCCATGAACTCTCCTCCTTACCCCTTCACTTTGCTTAGGTTCTGCCAGTCTGCACTAAAGCTCCCTTCTGTGGGTTTGCTCTGCTCCCCCTGCTTGGGCTCAGACAATTGATTCTGGACAAATACCTATTTTAGTATATGTGCTGTCGAAGCGAGCACCTGGACAAATTCCTATATTGGACACCTTCTTGATCCTACTTGAGCTCTGATAGTCTATGATGGTCACCACCAATGTTTCCTATCCCTCAATAAATATATCTCGTCTATATATGCCTCCCCACCCTCATGTTAGGGCTCTGATATGTTGTACTAGGCTACCCTTTCTTGTGGACTTTAACCTTTGCTTAGTCCTAAATCTGCTGCTGGGCTGCTCACCCCCAATCTGGACTCTCTTCTCATCCTACTCAGACACTGACACCCACTCTGGGACCCTCCTACCTAAACATCCACCTCACCTAGCTTGGGCTCAGTTACCTGGGTTTAGTTGCCCTCCCCACAATATTTACTCCTTCTCTCATGGGCTCTGGCATCCCATGCCAGCCTGGTGCTACCTTCTCCTCCATGAATGGAGGCTTCTTCAAGCCTTTCAGAGTCTACCCAATTGCATGTGCAGCTCTTACTCACAGATACCCTGCTGCCCTCACTTGTGTCCCACTGCCCCTCTGTGAGATACTCTATCCTGGTGGTACTCAGTACTACATGCTGTACCACTGATCTTAATGTAGGTGCCCTCCTTACCTTGTTAGGCCTGGACACCATAGCACCCTTGCTGACCCTTTCCTGCTGTCCCTTTCTCACTCCAGCTCCCAGACCCACAGGATGCCTGGCACACTGGGCACCAACTTGGACACACTGTTCTGAATTACCCCACCTGCTCTTATCTACTTGGGGTGATGCTTTTCACTAGGCCACTGCTATCTCCATGGATACCCACCTCACCTTTCTCATGCTCCAACATCCTGTACTGGGCTACCCTTCCTCATCACAAGTGCCATTCTTACTGGGCTTGGGCTGTAATATATTATTCTGTGCCACTATGGTCTGAGCCCCTCTGCTGATACCTATCTTGCTCAGCTCTAGCTAATAGCCTTTGAACTAAAGAAAAAGGAGATGAGAGAGGAAGAAGGAGAGGGGAGGGGAGGGAGAGAAGGAGAAGAAGGAAAGAGAAATGAAGAGAAGGGAAAGGAAAGACTGGAAGTGGATTTTGAAAGAGCTTACTCAGACCAAGGAATAAACCCAGGGACATCATTCATATTTTCCTTTTTTCTTTTTTTTTAGGGGTATTCATTCTTTGAACAATTTGAACATTTCGCCATTTCAGTATTCTGTGCCTTCCTCAGGGTACTGGAGAGGTTTATTCTCTGCAAACAGCTGTTCAGTATGATACCACCAGGGTCCTCCAGTATATTTATAGCTTTGGAATTCACAACTACCTATAATTTATACATGCATAGTTCTTCAAAAAATGCAAAAATTAAATCCTTCTAACTTATAGGGAGTATGGAATCCAATCAGTTTTAGCAAGCTTCCCTGTATATTAATTATCATTTATTTGAATGTTATTTTAAAAAACCATAAATCTGTAAAAACTTACATTTTGTAACCTTGATCAAACATTATTTTTAAACTCCTGTCACAATTTGGGAATTTTGCAAGCCCTGGAACAAAGAATAAAATGTCATAATGAAACTAGTTTTTATGATGAAATGGTGGTTACAACATAATTATTATAATTAATGCTAAAACCTAGCTATAATTCAACATGTTTGACCATAGCACTTCTACAGTGACTCATATTGTGACAGATTTACTCCCAGGTAATGTGATGAGCTGTGTCTGGATGTTCTTATTCGTGTATGGGATGTAATGCTTTATTATAACAATATCAGGGCTATGGTGGTGAAGCTTTCATACCACTGTGTTTCCTCTAAGGACAGAGTCTAAAAAAACCCAGAGTGGTTTGTGTATCAACTTTTTAGTGTTTCTCATAACCAAGAGTCCCTGAAAAGGGAGGATCAGCTGCAAATAAGACCTGTTCTTTTACGTAATAAGCTGCCAAAAGCTAGAAAGTGATGACTGACATTCTGCTTATCGCAATAGGCTGAAGAACGATTTTGCATGTTCACCAGGCAAGAAATACAGCTGTGGTTCCTGTTATCGACAAAAGACAATGCAGTCAGGATTCCATAGCTTCATTGCTTCAGTCTGTGACATTAAGGTTCAACCTCTACATGAGACGCATAAATATCCTTTGGATTTTCTTCAGTAAGCACACACTATAGGTTAATAATGTGGGGATGTTTGATTCCCTGCTGTTTTAAATAATTTCATGGAAAATCTAATGCAGTAGGACACTAGTTTAGAAAGGTTATTACCCTCATCAAACGAGAGCACTTCTTTCCTATTATTTTCTACCAATTTCTTGCCCTTATAGCTCCTCTCTCTTCATTTACCACAAATGATTCTTCAAAACGACACTCTGTGGTTGGGTGGAGATGGAATTGGAGAAAGCTTAATCCCTAATCAGGGCCCTGTCAGTGCTGGTAGTAGTGTGCATCCTTCTTCCTTCTTCTGCTTGCTGGAGCTTAGATACAAGACAGAGATGCACACTCATTGGAGGGGAATCATTGGAAACCATTTCTTACCACCTTGCTGGGACTATTTTATATAAGACCCTGAGATCTAGAGCCCAGAGGGAGCCTTCAGGCAGTTACAGTTGTAATAGCCTATCCCAGCTCTTCTCAAAATGGTGCTCCGATTTGCTAAATTCTTGAGTCATTATCACCTCTGCTGTGGCAGGTTACTTACAACAGCACTCTAAGAATGCTCTTGGGCTCACCGTAGTTTTAGGATTAAGGAACAATATGGTGTTCCCTGGACTACACCATTCCAGACTAACTAAGGGTGAAAGAGACTGCCTATTCAATAGCCATCTCACCTTTTCCTACCAGGACACAAAGTTTAGTTAGGCAGGCATGTGCATTTCCCAGCCTTCTTTGCAAATTGGTACCATGTGAATAAATTCTGGCCAATGAGTAGAAATTGTTTGGTCAGGACCTCTGGGAAAGATCCTTAAAATGGCAGGACAAACCTGGCAGTTTCTTTTTTAGCTTTTGTCCATTCTTCGGGGTGACCAACTATTTTGGTTTGCCTAGGGTTGTCAGGAGTCCAGAAGCATGGACCTTTCAGTCTTAAAGCCCAGACAAAACTGGGCAAACTGGGTAAGATGATCACCCTACCTTCCTTCTTCCACACAACATTATGTATGCTGGCTGGACTTCTAGAAACTCTAGAAATCTAATGGCCATGAGGTGACATAGTCTAATGGTGGCTGAGCAAGAGGATAAGAGGAGCTTGATTCCATTGTAACTGCCCTAGACTTCTCAGAACATGAGAAAAAAAAAAAAACTCCCAATTTAATGAAACAGTACTTTTTTAGAGTATAGTGGTTCTCTTTTGTAGCAACCACAAATTTCATTAACGTTAACTTAGTTAAGGAGCTCTGTTACACCCATGTGGAGTGCAGACTTTCCCTTCTGACTGAAGCACTTCCAGTTCCTTGGAGAGAGATGGTTTGGACATCGTGAAAATGGTTCAAACCCAGGTCTCTCAGACACCAAACTCTCTTTTCCTGCAACTTCACACTGAACTTCATTGTTCTCAGCCCTCACCCCTTTAAAACTTACTCTCAAGACCCTGAGCGGTTTGACTGGAACTCAGAATAGCTCAGCATTTGGAGAGAAGGGCCCTTACTTACAGGTGATGTGGACCCCTACTGTTCTCATTTACCCTGATGAGGAAACAGAGACCCAGACAAAACAAGGGGTATGGCGACCTGAGCTCCTAGTTAGCTCTCTTTGATACAGGTGTTACCTTTCCTTACCTGCAGCTGCATCATCTCCACTGCAAATCACAAGGTGCTGATCCTAGCATTCCCCTGCCCACCCTTTCATTGTGAACTTTAATGTCTAGCTTCCCTTTCTGGATTTCCCTATTTCTGTTGCCATGGCATTTTATGACAGGGACTTCACAGCTAAAATAACACTGCTATTAAGAACTTCAGAGTTTTGTTTCACTTTGATTTTTCTGTTGATGGGTGTGGGACACTGACTTTAGGAACAATTGCAAAGGAGTGGAAATTGGTTCTACCACCTTTTCATAAAAATGATTTGCCTTTTTCTTAGCTGAGTATCAGAATTATCTTTTCCCATCAAAGAAAGCATAGTCCTGAGCTTATATTAAGTATTCAAAAAATATTCAAGTTTTTTTTTTAATTAATGACAGAAAGAAAGGAATTTAAACATACTGATTACCTATTATGTGCCAACAGCCAGGAATCATTCCAGTTAGATGGTATCTATGCAATACCAGGTGTTAACATTTCGAATACCACCTCTGGAGCAAAGATCATGTGTATGCGTGCACATGTGCACACACACGCACATAGAGCTATGTGCACAAAGCATGAACCTGATTTAATCTTCATAGAAGCTACTAGAAGGAAGGGAATGAGGCTCAAAACAATGACATACGCAAGGTCACAGAATCAACACATAGCCGATCAGAGATTTGAAGCCAGGTCTTCTAACCTCAAGATTGTGCTAATTTCTTTTGAGTGAAGTTATTGTTGTTGGTCCCCAATCAGTCTTTCTCTTTGTGAGGGCTGTCAAGCAGGCCTCTAAAACTGATTCATTTTAGAGGCATATGAAGAAGGGAATTAGCATTAATTGAATGCTTTCTAAATTCTATTTACATCCTTTTTCAGTTAGTATTTACTCAAACCCTGTGATAGGGATGGTATTGTCCCCATTTTTGTATGCCCATTTATACATGAGGGTACTGAGTCTCAGAGGGATTAAGAACCTTATCTAAGGTAAAACTGCTAAAAATATAGGCTATAGAATCAATCTAGCTCCAGAGTCCATGCTCTGAACGACTACACAGTATTTCTTTGCTTATTTATAATACTCTGCACTCATTTTTCTCACTTAACTATGTATTCCATGGATGTTTTTCCAGGTTAATAAACAACAGAACATTCCGTAGTGTATAGCTATATGTCAGTTTCTTCAGCTAACCTCCTATCATCCTGACACATATAATGCTGAGGTTAATTGGTTTTCTTAGACATATACTTTTATGTACTAGTGTATTGATTTCTATTTGTTAGATTCCCAAAGATGGAGAGGTGAGATGAGCCAATGGGTTTAGATATATTTAATTATAATAACTGGTGCTAGATTATTTATCATTATTGCATTTAAAATTGTGATAAAGTACATATAACATAAAATTTGCTAGATTATTTTTGTGAAAAGTTTGTAGTAAGTTCAACTCCTATCACCAATGAGTGAGAAGAGGATTGGTCCATTTCTTTACTAGCACAGCATGTTCCTGTTTTTGTTAACTTTGATAAAGCTGGTAGTTGAATATGGATAATTAATTGTTGCTTTAATTTATATTTCCCAAACTTCTACTGAGATTGAGCATCATGTCATCTATTTATTCTTTGCCAAGAAATCTGAATTTTCAATCAAAATGTTCGGAACTTTGAGATAAAAAATAAATTTCCATTTAGGGCTTTGGGTATTAAAGGCAGGTAAAGGAGATATGAATGTGCAAGTATGTGTTTAAAGTGGGAGCTTTCTTGGCTTCCTTTCTGTACCCCTGAAATACTTTATTCTGCTTACAAATTAGCCTGTAACAGTGGGTGCTTTAATGACAAAATTATCTTCCATGTGGATTTGGAATCTGTAGAAAGTGGAAAACAAAAGTGATTCTGAGATGTGAATAAGTCATTGTGCATGTTTTGTAGACTGAACCAAGTTGGATGTTGTCTTTTGTTTTCGAAAATTCTAATCCATGCATTTCCAGACTACATTTCAGCATACTGCTGTAAAGAGCCTTTCAAAAATCAATTATTTGGAAGATGACTTCATGTTTTGTAGATGTGAAAAGAGAAAGGATGATGGTCTCAGGGCCCACTTGCAGCAGGGATGTGGCTGTCTGCTGGGATAGTGTGGAATCTGCATGAGGACGGCTAGGAAAGAAGTCCTCTGTAAAGTTAAATGAACTGATTTTTATCTGAAGTTCTGGTTGACAAGCTAAAAGAGAGCTGGGCCAAACTACACAGTCATTCCCAGGAGATGTTTACAAGTGGGAAGAGACGGAGCTTTGCTTCCTACCGCCTTCTCTGGGCGCACCTTCTATATGATCATGGGTAGGTGTTTTGAGTAAGGTGGACCTTTGCCATGGGGGAACTCCTTACACAAAAATGAAATTCCAGCAGGCCTCCAGTGAAGACTTTTTATTTGTGTGGAGAGACAGTGCCCTACCTGTGAACCACATTTTAAAAAGCATTTTGAGGTTTGAGCTAATAATGTGAATGACATTCAGTGAGATTGCCAAATGCTGGCAATTTACTCTCATTTTCACATTAATGTGGGCCCACCTGTGATGAATTGGAAACTAAATAAGCACATCAGTTTTAATTAGATATTTCAGAGGCTGGATCTGGTTAAACAGCAGTATTCATTCTTATCTATTAAACAGTGAAAGAGTTTAGCACATTCTTCAGAAAAAGTTTATACCCCTCCCACCCCACCATTTGTCCTTCTTTGTTTTGCAAGTACTCTTTGCAGATGGAAGCTTTTGAGTTCAAAAGTGCCTAGGTTGGTGCAAAGAGGGAGAGAAATGATTATATTTAAATCTTAAAAGATAAGCAGATCATCTAGTTCGTTTGTAGTATGTTTTATATTAAGAAACACAAATTAGGGAACTTTAAAAAAAAAAAAGCAGAAGATTGTGGTTGCCTGGATGATGCCCTCTAGAGGGCTAAGAGTTCTGTGTTCCCCAAACACTGATCCTGCAAATCGGGATCTAAAAATACCACTAGGGTATGGCTAATAGATACTGAATGACCTTCTATCAGAGAAAGGAGCCATTTTTCAAAATTCAAGACAAGATATTACAGTCCTAACGAAGGCAAAATGTTCTCTGATGCATAAGGGTCTAAGACCTAATGAAAGAAACTAGTATAGATGTGCAGGTAACTTTGATTAATATTTGTGAAGGATGAGGATTAATAGTAGACAATGAGCCTTAAAAATCAGTAGCCCTGAAAAAATTATTTATAGGTGCAATTTTTGCATTGGTTTTAACATCATTCTCCAGTGTCATTTCCTTAAGTGTTTCTACCTGGTTAGACTGAACTCCGGGAGGGTGAGGCTGTGCCTGTCTTGCAATGGCTATATCCCCAGTGCTCAGGATAGAGACTGTTCTATGGTAGGTGCTTAATAAACATTTGTATCCCTCTCTGTATGGCTAATGCCTTGTTCTAACATAATTTTCCTCCTGCAGATTTCAGATAATGCCTGTATCCTGGCTATCCTTTCACCAAAAAGAATTGTGGCAGTATTTACATGTCATTTTTCCTTTGTTTTTCTTAAGAGAGGAGCATCAAACAGTTGGCTTCAGATATATGTTAATGAGTTTTTTAAAAAATTAAATTCTGGATGCATGTGAAAAAAATTAAAAAGTGGTCCATTTATGTTCAGGAAATCACAGTTGTTTCAAATGGTTTTATTAGAGTATTAATTATACTATCCAAAAAAAAAAAAAAAGCAAAAGAAAAGAAGAAAGAACCAATACTAGGAAATTAGTAAATTGCTGTTAGGTAAATTATGGTGCTTTCATACAGTAAAGTTCTACACTGACATTAAAACAATGCTTTAGAATAATATTTAAGGGCAAAATAAATCTCCTACTATAATAAATAAAGAAAAAGATGAGATAAAAAAGCATTAGCACATAATCACATAATCATAGTGTTCCTTCTTACAGAAAAAAAATGAAAGAATTTACATCAAACTTTATAGTTTTCCAAATTTTAGACTATAAAAATGTATTACTTTTATATTCAGAAAATATGTGATGAAAGTGTAGGATTTCTTTAAATAGGAATATCTTTTACTGGATTTAAAATGTGATATCATTTCCCATGAAACTGAGTAGGGCTATGAGAAGGGAAGGTAGTGGTTTGAAGAAAGTAGAGACAAGTGTGTAAGGGAGGAGATCCTGTGTTGGTGGATAGTGAAAGAGTTTGAGATCTCCATGGAACATGGCCACAACAGCTTATCTGAGAGAAAAAATGTGCTTTCAAATTGTTGCTGTACAGTTACCATGAATTCACAAATGGAGTTTGAAAGAGGAAGTAGCATTTAACAGCTTTTCATACCTGCTCCTATGTCTTCATTTTATACATGTCTGTATAGATATCTTTTTCCATTGAGTGTATAGGTTGGAAATTATTTTCAAATTTACTGTTTTAGTTCTTCCCTATTTGCTTCTTGAGTGATCTTTTAAACAAGAAAATCTGCTTACATATCTACTTATTCCTTTAATGGATTCTCATTTACTTTGAGGTGCCATCCAGACTCCTTACTCTGATGCACATACATGATATTGGGGAACTGTCTCCTGCCTTCCTCCCCTTCCCATCTCCCAATACTTCCCCAAATATGTCCCTGACTTCATCACACCAGACAGCTCACAGCTTTCGTATGTAACATCCCTATTATTAAGGCTGTACTTCCTTCTGGAAGCCTCCTCTGAACCTCTTCTCCATGTGGTTTCTTCCTCCTCTCAGCCATTATGCATACCTTCACTACTCACCACATGGCATTGTAGTTGCTTGACTTTCCTGCCTGTCACTTCACTGTCAACTTCTTCAGGGAAGGGACTAGGACTTGACCAACTTTCATTTTAATACTCACCATAGAATTTTTGGTCCACGGTAGGTGTTTAATAAATTTTGTTCAGTGACCATGTGAGTGAATGCCGCAGATATTTTGATGGGACGTATATGCAATTACATTGAATCCACCCCTAATCTTTTCTGAAGTTGTTTCCTAGCTGATGTCTTTCCAGCAGGCAGAGCCAAGTGACCTCTTGGATGTGCATCTGTCTAGTGAAGGAAGGTGGGGTTGGCAGAATCATGGCCCCCAAGGATTTGCATGCCCTAATTTCTAGAACCTTTGAATGTGTTATCTTACATGTCAAAAGGAATTTTGAGATGGAATTAAGGTTATGAACCTTAAAATAAAGAGATTATTCTGGAATATCTGGATCTGGGTGGATCCAGCGTAAGCACAAGTATCCTTAACAAAGGATGCGAGAGGCAGAAGGAAGACAGATACAATGAGAAGAACAGGCAGGGGAGATTTGAAGTATGAGATAGGTTGACCCACTATTGCTGGCTTTGAAAATGGGGAAAGTGGACCATGATCCAAGGAGTGTAGGCAGCTTCTAGAGCCTGGGAACAGACTTCAGTCCTGCAAATGCAAGGAACTGAATTCTGCCACCAACTCAAAAGAGTTGGAAATGGATTCTCTCATGTAGATCCTCTAGAAAGGGGCACAGTGCCGTTGACACCTTGATTTTAACCCAGTGAGATCTGTGTTGGAATTCTGAATTACAGAATAGGAAGATAGAAAATTTCTCATTCTAAGCCATTAGGTTTGTAGTAATTTGTTACAGTAGCAATAGAAAACTGAAACAGTTTAGAAATATTTCAGAATGTGTGATTATCTTCTTGGTTACTCATTGTCTTCACCTTTCTTAATGAAACAACCCAAGTAAAAGGAAATAAGAATAGAAG